ATGAAAAATCTTCTCTTTCTTCTGATCGTCTGAAACGTGTCACACAATCAAAATAAAATGTATGTGTAGCTATTCAACAGAGAGCTTTCAATAGACATAAATCAGCAAAATGTGACGCAAATCAAGTACAGAATCATAATGTTATACTATTTATACTTGTTCTTAATTCATGTGCTATCTTCTCTCCTTTTTTATACAGATTGTATCATTTCTTTTTCTTCCTTTCTTTTTTTTTGTTTTCTTTTTTTGCTTTTCCTTTTTTCTCTTAACTCCTGTACTGTGACGACCATGAAACTGGTCGTCAGTTATTAGCTAAATAAAAAATATGTATGTGTAAAATGAGAATGTGATTAATTATTTTTTAGGACATACAATTCTTAATATTTCTTGAGATAGACATAACCAAGCAGACACAATACATGACAACTAAAGCTGACAAAACTCCTAGTATGAATGAACACATAGAAAACAGAAGACTTTGAGCATTTTGGGATCTCTTTTTACATGTACTCTGACGAGAGGACTAGTCAAAAGTCCTGAAGAATGCCACTGCTGTGAATGAGAGAGGACGATTGATATAATCAAATCAATGTATCTTGTGACTATAGGACTTTGTTTCACAATGGAAAATATGGTATTTAAATGATGGACAAGGAATAAAAAGTTTAAAAGTTCAAAAAAATCTCAGAAATCTAAAAAAAATCCCGAAAAATCCGAGAAAATCCGAAAAAAATCCGAAAAATCCGAAAAATCTGAAAAAATCCGAAAAATCCGAAAAATCTGAAAAAATCCGAAAAATCTGAAAAAATCCGAGAAAATCCAAAAAAATCCGAAAAAATCCAAAAAAATCTGGTTTGGATTTTAGAATCTGTAAAATCCCGAATCCGCTTTTTCCCCCTTGTTTTTCCCTCTACTGAAAGGAGGATCATACACCTAGCAATGTTCGTAACTTCGTTCGTGCGTTCATTCGCACAGAGCGAAAAAATGTTTTTTTCACCTATAACATCATCGATCTTACAACAGATCTTCACCTCACCCAATCGATTAGTATAGAGTCCTTACCCCCCGACAAATCAGATGTCTGCATTCCAGTCAATCAGATTTCAGGTGACAGATTTTCAGCCAATCACAAGTTTTCACCGTGTGGCTATGCACCAATGAGATTTCGAGAATGGCCATTTGCACCAATCATAGGTTTTCACAGTTTGGCCATGCACCAATGAGATTTCGAGAGTGGCCATTTGGACCAATGATAGGTTTTCACGGTTTGGCTATGCACCAATGAGATTTCGAGAGTGGTTATTTGGACCAATCATAGGCTTTCACAGTTTGGCTATGCACCCATGAGATTTCGAGAGTGGCCATTTGGGGCAATCAAAAGTTTTCACCGTGTGGCTATGCACTAATGAGATTTCGAGAGTGGTTATTTGGACCAATCATAGGTTTTCACAGGTTGGCTATGCACCAATTAGATTTCGAGAGTGGCCAATTGGACCAATCATAGGTTTTCACGGCGTGGCCATGCACCAATTAGATTTTGAGAGTGGCCATTTGAACTAATCATGGGTTTTCACGGTTTGGCCATGCACCAATGAGATTTTGAGAGCAACCAATTGGATGAATCATTGCTTTTTTTTACAGTTTCGCTATGCGCTAATGATATTTTGTGAGTTAAGATTTGGACCAAGCATAGGTTTTCAAGTTGGTGTGGGCGTGTATGTGGGGTTGTGTATGGGAGTGTTGGTGTGGGCGTGGGTGAGGATGAGGCTGAGGGTGTGGATGTGGGTTTGATAGGGCGTGGGTGTGGCGAGTGTGGGAGTGAGTTGAGTTTGGATGTGAGTCCGGGTGTGTGCGTGGGTGTTGGTGTTCGGTGTGTTTGGATGGGTTGGAGTGTGGGTGTGTGTTTGGATTGGGAATTGAATGAAACATTCTTATGCATATCGACACCGACACTCACACTGGATCCTGCGCCAATAGGCACCGTGTTTGTGTTTGAAACTGACAGTCTAGATTTGAGTATGGTTGGAATACCTGTTGGGGCAGTATTGTTGGGTATTTTCTGTGAGTTTTAGTGATGTGTGGCAGTTAATGCTACCGTACCAGTTGTTTATAAAAGTCTATTGAATGAAATGAGGGTCGTTCGGTTGCCTTTAGTCCTCAATGCAGTTTGTGGTTTTGTTACGATGAGGTCACGTGAAGGCGCACTTGTGAGTTTAGTGGAGATATTGGTAGCAAAATTTGGTTGACACTGCTATTCGTCTCTGAAATCGTTACTTAAAAAGTTTTCTTATATGCCGTTTGTCATATATAGCTTGTGTTGTAGTGGATAGCTGTCAAATGCTGCTTGGGATGCCGGTTGAATGCACGAACGACAGTGACTTTCTATCAATACAATTCGTTTGCGTAGTTCAAACTCTTTTCATTCTCTTTTGTCTTTATGGCTTTTATTTGAAATAGAGTTTCGTACAAGTTTTACACAATGATCTATGGGCGAGAACTGTAAAACGCACAAATTTGGAGCATGCAATGTATAGTTTTTTATGCGTTAGGTGGTTTTTCTGAACATCACGGCACTCTTCAGATGTTGTTGTTTTAAACAATGAATTGAAAACGTTTCCGAGTATTTTGTACTATTCTATCGAGTCTTTTGAGTTCTTCTATTTGGGCCGTTGACGGTTTAACTTGAAGTGTTGCAAATTCAAATGAACGTATGATTAGTAAATCGTCAAGTCTCTTTACACGAGATAATGGAACATAAACCGATGCGAGTTCGATTGGACCAGGCGGCATCACCAGATCGACGATAATTTTATCGAGTGTTTGGCCTTGGCTTTTATGTGTTGTCATGCTATATGCGGGTATAAGCGGAAATGCTTTACGTTTAACCGAGAGTTTTGTTGTTTTCTTGTTTATTTTAGCCGCTTTCGCTAAATTTCCTGGAAGAAGTTCCTTCGCGTCAAACAAGAATGTTTATTCACTAATAGCTATAGGAACTATTTTGGACTGCAGTTCAGCAAGTTTGTCATCAAGTTTGCAACCAAGAAATTCTACTAAAGCGCACTTCGGTTGCGTTATAAACTTGGTATTTGATAGAAAATTCTGATCGTGGTATCGAACATCTTCAGGTGGTTCATCATATACAAGTTGACGGAAGGTTCCTCGTGTGCCATTAGAGAGTCCGAGCTCAGTAGCGATGTTTTCTGTGAGTAAAACTGGCATTCCTGGTATGAGAGGTAAATACCCTGCAAGATATTCGATTTTATTGTCAGATAGTTCAAGTATGGCTTTACGTAATCGTACATCATCCGCAGGTTTTCCTTGAATATAATCTTGAGCAATACAAACAATTGAAGTAAGTCCCATTTCAATTGTTTTGTTTAAGACAGTCCTATTGTTAATCTGAGTGCGTAGTGTATTCCGAAAAACCAGTATTGGAGCCTATTAAAAGAAAAATAATGTGATACATAGAGAAAATGAGTGTGTATACTTCGTTCCATGGCTTTTGTTGTAGAAATACTTGAAGTTTTGAATTTCCTATGACTCTCGTACACAGAAGTTGGTAATCTCCTATTATCGATTGCCCATCTCTTAATATATTTAAAAGTTCCAAATATCTAATGTCTTCGGTTCGCATTTGCTGAGTTAATTCAACAACGAAGTTTATTTCAGACATAAGCTTCTGTGCACACAACATATCTATCTGACGTTCTGTAACTTGCTGTGTCGGTGCGCAGCTACAGTAGAGAGGCTTATCCAAAACAGGAGAATATTGAAGGTAGTCGCCGAAGAAAATGACATTGACATCGCCAAAAGATATCTCAGAATTTATGTGCTTGGCTGTTTTCACTATTCGCTTTAGATGAGCTAAAAGACGAAGTCCTACCATGCTCATCTCATCGATTATCAAGTACTTCACACGACACCATTCATTTTCTAATTTCATATCACCAGGTCTAAATGTACGGGTTTGTTTCTTTTTAGTGTTTTTGCGACTTTCACCTAAAAATGAATGAATAGTTAATCCGTGAATCTCAGCTGCTGCTATAAACGCTGGTGCCAGTTTACGCAATATCTTGCCCCGTTTTGTTAGTTGGAAATACTTGGTGAGTGCACGAATCAACTGAGATTTTCCAGTGCCACCACAGCCAGGTATACACATCAATAACTGATTATCGATAGTACCTAAATATCAAGACTAACTAAACCATACAACAACAAAATCGAGATAACATACCGGTATAAGTATAATGTTCACCATCTAAGTGACTAGTAACAATCATAAAAGCATATTTTTGCTGTATATTTAGCGTAAATTATTTGACGATATCCTGTTTTGTGGGAAACAAAATCGCATTGGTTGCAGTCACAGGCGGGACTGTTGCAACTTTCGTTTTAATTGGGCTTGTTGGAATTTCATTACCTACGATTTCAATCTGTGTTTCATCATCTCGTACTTCCAGAGTATCTTCGCCTAAAATTAAATAGTTTCTTGTTTCATCTCGTCGGGCGTCAATAACACGTTTCCATTCTTTAATCATGGTCGTATGATGCTCGCGAGCTACGACAAATGTGTGGGCGTCGTGTATGGCACCATAATTATTTTCACCCAGAGAACGTGTGCGGCCTAAATCAAACAAAATATTTTCGGAAAATGACAGTAATTAACTCATCATTGAGAAATGCAAATCTATCTGTATTATCAATTGCTTGTAATGCATCATGAACATAACGTTGTTCGTGAGTAACTGTCAATGCCGAGTAAGTATTTGTGATGATCTCATTTACGATGGAAAGCGTTTGCAAAAGCTGTTCAGGATCGTCTTCTTCAGTATTTTGATCTTCTTCATAGGAGTTAGGAATCAGAATAGGATCAATACTACTGTCATTTTGTGCTTCTAAAAGAACTTGATGAAGGTACTCATCTCAATCGTGCTTACATTCATGCAAAAGTTGTATATTTTCTATAATTTTGAGTGAACTAGAAGAGATCAACGGTTTTCGAACTTCCAGTGCCTCAGACCATGTCTGATTTAGTGTATAAAGATCGTGGACTGATCTCCATGGCACGAATAAAGTTAGCAATGCACGACAATAACGCTCGTGCGTTTCTTCTCGTTCGCGATGGGGTATTGGAGGACCAAGCAGAACTGATATCACCGGAGTGGTACGTTTAATGATATGTGTTGATCATTGTGGGTGTACACTTTCAAATGTGTGTCGTTCGTTTATTTTTGTTCCTTCGGTATAGAATCGTTCACCTTCATGCCTATTTTCATTCTTTAGTAAACGGCGGTCTGATTTGTCAATAACCTTCTTGTGAAAATGACTGATAAAATCATATAGGCATAATGCCCTTAGATCTTTTGATCAATGGTAATAGTCCAGACGAGTGTTTATCATGACATACCCGTCACCGCTTTGGGTTTTTGTTGGCTCTAATAGAAACTGATCTTCAGTTTCTTTTGTATCTTCCCCTTGTTCATCATAGAAGAACGATAGGATCTCTAGAAAAATTGTATATTAAATATCTATGTAGTCATTTTTAAAACTTTTTATTATCAACTTGCTGCTGCTCAATAGATTTGACTCCTTGCTGCGTAAGGGCAAGCATATCATAGAAGGCTAGAGTAGACTCTGTTACATAATCAGTTATATAGTACCCTAAAGCTTTAGTGTCGTTACCATTCTAGATGAATTTAATATCCATTTTGGATCGGCAAGCATTTAAGAGTCATTCATTGAAGTTGTCGATCCACGGATGTGATCGATGCATAGTTATCTGACCTGTAGAAGGATCGATGTTGGAAGTCTTCACTAGTACATGTGGCATACGCATTCGACAAGCTTTTGAACCATTGGACTTGCCTTTCGAGTATTTGTAACACATTGCAGAATGCTCGTGAATATTGCATGTTTCGACTAATCTCACTATATCTTTGCGAAAAATACGATAGAAGTCATCTAACACAGGATTTGACATTGGTAGGCATGTCGGTACAACTTCATTCGTTATCGGCCCAGTTTCTTCTACAATCAAGACAAAAGCAAAATTAAGGATATACTAAAAGCTACAAACTCACGAATTGATTCACTGTTATCGCTTGCTGTACTGGTTCGATTGTCGCTTTCATCTTTAAAAAGAATGGTCAAATTTAAAAGTACAAATGATCTAATGCAGTTATTATGGTTACTAAGAATCTGCAATTCGAAATAAACGCATTTTGGATTATCGAGAATTAGTTGAAAGCTCAACTCTAGGCTAAAGCAACGATAATGTATTCTCAGGGTACAAAATTTCGCCAAATAGGCAAATGGGAATACTTCAAATCACAAATTCGAACGGTGCTAAATGTATTACCTCGAAATAGATCTAAATCTTCTTTTACAACATCTTCTAAATATTGTAGTGAATTTTCACGAAAATCTTGATTTTGAACCTTTTCTTGTAATTGTGCTGGAGTAAACTCATGATTGAGCCAAATTTGAAGGTGTAAAGTGAAGCGAGTCTCTGCCTTGATTCTCGACAGTGCCAAAATATGCTTTTGTAGGACCAAGTACACTACCGAGCACAATACTTTTCAAGATGCTTTTTATTAAACAGTTAAAGAATTTTGCAGTAGCAGTAGGATGTGTTGCGATAATTTGAGCATGTTCATAACTTGTGCCCAACACTTCTGGCAGAACTTTGTCAAGATTTAGATCCACACCTGCAAAATAAAGTGCCACTGGACTATGTATGTCGGCTAGATTGATTAGTAGGAAGAGAGTTGGAAGATCGAGATTAAAACACAAAGAATGAATTTTCGTACGAAGAGTCGACCGTGAATGAAGTGAATCCATAACATGACCACCAACCACTTTGATATGCTTTATGAGCGTATTTATTCTTTCATCGATAGCTTTTGAATAAGGCGCTTGTGAGATGTTGGCAAGGGCCGTTGTTACATCTTCAGAAATCAATAATTCAAGACGTTGTGCGGATTGCTGAAAGTACGGCCTTGATGTTATTAATTGGGCATGGAAGCACGCGATTCAGCGTTGTAAAATATTGAAGACAACAAATATGAATGAGTAGTGTTCTTCAAAACGATGATCTCCGTACGAAAGAAGATATCTAAGATGCTCACGAAAATTAATTTGGACCGGTCGAGAGTAATCTTCAAGTGTATCACATCCATATGGAAAACATATAGGAAAGATACCCAATAAAAGATTTGGATTAGAATATTCATTGGCCGATTTGTTACCACGAGAAATTATGTATACAGTATCTTGTTCAACGTTTTCCTCGATGTCTTTTTTCAGCGTTTTATCACACATTTGTACCTTTATTCATTCTAAAAGATGTTCAACAACGTCATCAGACGACATTTTGGTACCGTTAGTATGCAAGATAACACTACAACACAAACAATGGTAGATACAAATATCAATGCCTTTTTGTTTTACCTCGCAATTATTGGTATAGCTGTTGTAGTGTTGGACTCAGATACATTGATCAGAGGGTTAAAAATATAAGTTGTCCTTTGGTTTTCAACCGCTTCTACCTTAGCGGAAATTTTCATTGTTGCCCAGGAACACTCTGGGACATCATCCTCAAATAATTTATTGATTGTTGATTGATTAATTGTAACATATCGATGGAGTAG